TGACGTGTTATATATATATATAGCATATGACATAACCTTTTATTGCTTATCATATCATTGTCGAATCCAAATTTTTAAATAAAATATACTTTCTCCACATTCTGAATTTTCATGGATCCTAGATAACTGAGAATAAATTAAGTTGATTCCATTTCAAATGAATTCTGACGTTTCGTTCTGAGAATGAATAATTCATTATTGTTTCAGTGCGATTCTACTATGGAAGTATAAAGCATATATTTTTCTCATGTAGGTATACTAAAAAATGAAAACCCTTTTATTTACCAGAACAATTAAATGAGAATACAAAAATTACCATCTGGATACTACTTATTCAAAAATTTTCTGTGAGTTTGAACATCTTTTGTAACTAATACTTTCTTAAATTGTCAAATAAATGCATTCCTTTCTGGATTTTAGATTCAACACTTAGTGTAGCTGATTTTTAATTTTTTTGATGATATTTTTTTTAACATTAAGAAAAATATTATTTCTTATCATTTCTAATTTTGGTGATTTAAGCATTACCTATAGTTATTTTTCCATACCACCTCTTTGAGGAAACACAGAAAAAAGAAGGAATAATAAATAGTTCAAACTACTGTTTTTCAAAACTATTTTCAATACTTGAAATTGTTTTTTTCGTACTGAGACTGTAATGGGTAAGTGTGAGAATTATATTGCTGAGTGGATTTTTAATGCAACATCCTTGGCTGTGCTCTAACACGCAAATAAGGAAGAGCTCAATAATATTTGCTGGTCCAATTCTGGACACAAATTATGTTGAATCACATGCTTACCTTGATGGCGCTGATTTTTCTCTCTATCATTATGGAGAAGTTAAGTTTGATTTCAGCTAATAGTTCTTCCGGGTTTTTTTTCTGTATTTTGGCATTCAAGAATGTGTATTTCTGAAAAAATGGCTCATCATTGAAACAATCAATATTTTTATGCTCCTATTCTTACTTGCTTGATTTCGGTGTACTGGGTAATGGACTCACCCATGGTCCATAAATCTTTTCCTAGAGATTTTGCCCATTGTGAAACCCTGTAAACAAAGAATGGCCTTCAGGGAGTAGTATACTATGATCTTCTCAGCGGACCTCAACTTTTTCATTTGACGAGATAGACTCTTAGTTGCTTTGGGGAAAATGAGCAGCGTAAAACATTCTTTTTTTTAAATGCCTGTCCTTGTCAGCGACGACTGCTGACGAATAGAGATATTTACTTGAAATTATCACCACATATAAGAGCTCACTGTATTTGCAGGTGATTAAGTTTTTTAGAAAATGGAAGAGCTGTTTTTCCGGAGATATTCCAATTTTTTCAAAATTACTTTTAGTGGCAAAAAGTTTATAGAAACTGTTTTTTCTATATAGTTCTAAACAATCATTCGAACGTTTTTCCATAACTATAATACTTGTGTACATTTTTGGGAATTAGCCGATTTTGATATCAGAGTAAAAGTTTCTGGTATGAAATATTTCAGCGACGGTAAATAAATTGGAAGTAAAAACCGAAAATATCAAAAAAACACATGGAACCCGTTTTGTTCCTTTTGAGAACAGTTTTTTCGTATGGAATATAGTCCAGGAATTGTTTTTTGAATTGGAAAAGCATTCATAGTATCCGCATTATTGGCATCCAATGATGGTGTAAAATTATTTTCCGGAAGAACATATGCTCAATTGGTCTACGTTTGGTCGTAGCATTCACACATGAAAAATCACCTGTTTCTAGACTTCTACACTCTTCAAATTCTACGTAGTGTCTGTTTATTTTCCAATTATATAACAGCATATCAATATTGATTCAAACAGAAGACGGTTAACGACGTTTGGAATGGAGAAGTTTTTTTATCAAGAATGGAACAGAAGGCTTGCCATACTATGCTCCTCGCGCTGCTGCGATGTTGCCCTTTCTGTCCACAAACTTCTCTTCTAGAGTATTCAATCACCACGCTCCATTGTATGCCTTTGCAACACAATGGATGTTGAAACTAATTCAGTGTGCGCTCTTAGTATTGCCGATTATATCAATGCCTTAAAAAGAAGTATACTTAGTCTTTGTCCTTGCCACAAAGATGGTGAATAACATCGGACTGCGTCCACTCTATTATGAGGGCGACCATTTGACTCGCACCGACAAAACAGGAAGTGGAGTCCAGCAATGTATTCGGTATCATCATCATCGTTTATTTACACAAAAAGAAAAACAGCAAGCATAACAAGGCTATACATTTTGCAAATAAACATTGGGAAACCCACAGAAGCAACAGGTGTTGCTTGTGCGTGGTGTAAATTCGCGTGGTGTAAAATTTTTATAACTTAAGATACTAAAATTAATAATGAGTATAAGGTTAACAAAAGGGTGAAATAAATATATACAGAACATTCAAAAACTTTATAGACGTGTAAGTAGATATAAAATTAATCATATGTAGTATAAATAAAATATATTAAAATAACCATTATAACAATCATAAGAACATCCGATACTTTTATATATAAAATGAATCACATGTATAAGAAAAATCACTCGGATCACAAAACAATTGGAGACGTTTAAGGATGAAATAGATCACATGGGAGGTGTAAATAAAATTTCTTACAAGTTGGAAATTGTCTTGCGAGA